TTTTCACCAGCCGCCACTGTGAATCAGTATACTTAATTAAATAATGTTTTTGAAGATGTTTAGCAAAGACCTTCACACTTCTCACACAGGTCCCACTTCACAGTAACTCAAAACACATTTGCTCCGACGCACAAGTTTGCTTTGGAAGAGAAGTGGTTTTGGTAAGTTAGGCAGAACGAGAGTGGGAACGAACGCCACGGGGAGAGGAGCCCTGCTGACTCTTTTCTCCCTCCACGCTATTTCTGTCAAGCCAGACAGAATAGCTGAAATGCAACCCGCTAACGCAGACTCGTCCCAGAGTCTTTTGGTTTCTGAGTTAATTTAAACTTGAGAAAGCGCATCTGCTGAACGCTTCAGCAACGTGTACCGAGGTCAACTCTGGACCGGATCATCGCACACCTTCGTCTCCTCTGCCAGCCAAGGTGTGACCTGGATAAACATCCTCCGAGGTCCGGATCTGAAAGGGGGTCCTAAGTACGGTGAGGCAGAACACGATAGATAGTGTTCTGATGCAGTTTTTCTAATAAGAACTAAAGTTTAATCGCAAAACATCATTTTCACTCAGACACCTTCCCTCTCCCAGAAGCAATCTCAGACACCTGCATGCACGCATTCATAACTACATCATCCTCAAATCTTAGCACATCCAACACAAGGTCTATTTGTGCAAGCTGAAAATATCAACTCTTAAAGATTGTCCAACAAGGTTGCCAATGTTGATTATTTCTCCTATGATTGTCATTTCTAATCATTAGTTTATATTGAAGAATTAAAACTCTTAAATGTAAACTTGTCTTTTCATTGAACTGAAACACAGACACACGGATATGATCGTCAGTTTATCGATGAAAACAACCTTTGAGTCTTCTTATCTCTATAACGTTTGGTTATTAATTTATTAAAATTAATATTCCAGATTATTCTGTAGGATGGTTCATCTTTCATGAAAGAGCCAACAGCCATTAAGCTACATCCTTCACCGATGAACAAGCAAACAGGAAGCATCAGACACTCCTCGGTTTGCTCCTACATCCGTCTACATCAAGCTCCTGGGGGGTTGGGGGGTTTCTGATCAATCACAGATTTATCGTTTTCAGACAGCAGAGCAGGAGTCGAGCAGGACAGGAGCGGGAGGTCATGTGAGGTCAGATCTGCTGCTAGAATTAAGCTAATGGAGAAAAGATGAGAAACAGCAAAGGTTACAAGCTGCTGCCAGTTAGCCACACACACACACACACACACACACACACACACACACACTGGGGGAGCATCCCTGAACAGACGAAAGGTGTTGCATTGCAGCAAACGTCTTGCTGCTCCTGAGTCCATGAAGCCTCTACCTGGGCACTGCTCTTGGTATCACGTTCACCTGGAACAGTCACAGGTTTCATAAACCACCAGCGGGTGTGTGTGTGTGTGTGTGTGTGTGTGTGTGTGTATGTGTGTGTGTGTGTGTGTGTGTGTGTGTGTGTGTGTGTGTGTGTGTGTGTCACCACACAGGCAGCGGTTTACCAGCTGCAGTTGTCCTCCAGACAAGCAAAACTAAGCTGTGTAATTCAGAGTGTGGCTGTGTCGGGCAAAGGTCGCTTTGGGATACATCTGCTGTTGATCCCCAAGCTGGAAAACCGACGCTGGCGGTCAGGAGAAGACCAGAAGCTCCTCAGGAATGTGTTACACCTCCTAGTCAGCAGGAGTCAGGAGAGCTAGGAGGCTCCATGGAAAAGAGGATCAAGCAGGTTTCAAGGTCAACTGAAGGTTAAACTGGTTACACACACACACACACACACACACACACACACACACACACACACACACACACACACACACACACTGTAGTCAGTCTTTCATCGGTATATTTGACCTACATCATCAGCAAGAACAGGTCCAACTATCAGCTGGAGGCGGGGCCTTTGCAGGTCTGAACACAGGATTACAAGCTGTCAACAAACTGTTCCCGTTTCAAGGCCTTAAGCTTCCTCTCATCACTTCTACAGGATTCTTCCTGCCTCTGAATAAAAGTGAACATTTCCAGCTAGTGATGTAACGTTCACGGTCTTCTGAACGACGAGAGCCGAGTCCCTGTAGAGAGCCGTTCATCCTAACAAACCTCCCCGGAAGTCGCTCAAACCCCACCCACCTCTGCAACGGGCGTAGGAGGAGCCATAAAAACACGTGTTTATATCCATATCTCGGGAGGAATGCTGACCAACCCCGTGCGCCCTCACGGACACCGCAGGAAGACGTTGCTCTTGATTTAACCCCCCCCCCCCCCCCCCCCCGTGCTCCGTTGGCTTCACTTCGTTCAAAGGAGCCAGTCTTTTGAACGGCTCTTTGAGGTAAGCGACCGACTAACGAACGGCTCCCATGAAAGAGCCGTGAATCCCATCACTATTTTCAGCTCGTATGAGCTCATTAATCATACATGAATGGACGAGGTGTTACATGAAAGGTTTTGGATAAGCTGTGCCTAAGCTGATAAGGTTGAAATGAATATTTTCCTACAATGATCCATTTGTCTGATAATCAGTCTACGTGACGAGCTAATCAGCCATGCACTCGTACACACGTGCATATCTCCATGACACAAAGTTAGTCATTTCATGCCCGTACAGATTTCCTTATCCACAAATCAGAGCACCTTCTATCTGAAAGGAGTGATGTTCTGAGAGTTGTTTGTTAACACCTCTTAACATGGCACGTCCTGATTGGCTATGTAATCATAATATGAGAATTAAACACAACTCACTTCCTGAGTGAGTCGGTTCAAGCTCAGTTCGGGTTCAAGCGGACCTTGAAGTCCTGAAGGGACTCTGAACCATCAAACCAAGCCGAAAGCTGCCTGCAGCGACACAGAAACAGCTGTTCTAGACGCAAACGACTTCCTCTATCGACCCGGAGGCATCCCAGGACTGACTTGGTTGCCTCGAGGTTTTCCTACGAGCCACGTGCTGTGGGGTCACCGACTGTTTGACATCTGGGATCCGAACGGGGGTCTCCAGAAACGGGGACGTAGGCGTCTGACGTGGTTTTGATAAATTAATTCTTTAGCTCATAACAACACAAACTCTTACACCCAGATCCGACGGTTCTGATAAACATCACATTACACTACGTCATGCACTCATCACCTCATGGTTTCCTAGTTGTCACGTCGTATAATTTATAAAAGTAAATAGATTTCTTACCTTTTTATAAACTTGACTTTGAATTAGGGTTGTCACGATACTAAAATTTCAAACTCGATTCGATACTTGAAAAAATACTCGATACTCGATTTCGATACTATTTACAAAAACACCCATTTATCGAACAAGTTTATTAAAAATATAACATTCCTCAATTTATATTACAAAAATTAAATGTTAAGAATTAAGTGTATTAAGTGCTTAAACCTTTCAAGTATCAGGATTTTTTAAAACGTGCATACAAAAACTGGTGAAAGTTAACACTTTAAATCATGAATTGTCTCAGTATATAGACACTATCTGCAGAGTGATGTTTTGCTGCTTAAACTCTGTTTAAGGTGCATTTTTGTCATAAGATGTAATGCCGTATGTTTTGTTCTGTACTTTTGAACAACTCTGTTGGTCAATAAAGGGAGAAAACGAATTTCTCCACAGTAGGACAAAGGTACATCTACCGGTGATCTTAATAAAAACAGATTGGCGCACGGCAGTGACGTCATTAAAAGCGCTGGTTAGATTAGCCGCGGCTAGTCTGTTCACGCCTAGAAATCCCAGACCCGCTC